GCGAGACCCAAGCAAAACTTTGAGCTACACTCTATATGAAATATGTTCAGATGAATTAAAAACATAATAAATTCACAAGAACAGAATTAAAAAAAAAAAATTATGTGTATTAAGAGTAGTATGTAAATTAAAATTTTCTGATATAAAGATTTTTGCATACCTGATCACACCTTAATATTTAGTTTGCTGTGTTCCAGTTGTAACATTATTACAAACATAGAAAATAACCATCACAGAGGTAACTGAGAAATTTCAACACTAAATTAATAAACTGATTTTTGGTTTTACCATGTAAACATATGTAATTCTATATATATACTATAACAAAATAAAAATAGTATTTATTTATATGCACCTATTCTAAATGTTATATTTACGTGTATGGTGTACACGTTATATACGTATAAATATTCTGATCCTGAGATCGGTAGCATAGTGGTTGAGGGGCTATGCTACAAGCCGGAAGGTTGTGGGTTCAAGTCCCGATGAGGTCACTGGAATTTTTTCAGTTGACCTAATCCTTCCAGCCGCACTAGGCCCTGGTGTTTACTGAGCCTCTAACAGAAATGAGTACCAGGAATTAATTAAATAATTTTCCTGGGGAGTAAAGCATCGCCGGTGCATAAGACTGACAACCTTACCGCCATCTTTGAGCCGATTGTCTACATATGGGACCCTCAACGCCTCACAACCCTATGGGCCTTCACGGCCTGGTACAGGGATAGCTTTACTTTACTTATTCTGATCCTGAATAACTACATATATATATATACCCCAAACCGTAACTGCTGAACTATGTAACTTAAAATTTGATTTTAACATTACTAGTATATAATAAAGGTACTCCTCGATTTATGTGAGAGTTGTTTCAAGAAAAATCATAGTGGGTGAAATCAATTCAAAAAGTTTCCCTATAACAATCAATGAAAATGTCTGATATCTGTTATAAAACACATCAAATTATCCTTGCCATTAGCTAAACTGATTGTCTTATGCAGTACAGTATATTATTTTTCTTATTTCAGGAATATAGGAATCAAATGTTTATTAAGTACTTGTTTTGGGAAAACAATGCTATATACGGCTAAGAAATAGAATGGCACACTGTCCTAGAACTGTTTGCAGGAAACCTGAAGTGACATAGGCAAAATGCATGCAAGTGCAGACATAATAACTTCATATCACTTATGACATCCTTAAAAATGCATAATTATTGAGCCTGGTAGGTCTATGCCATATCAGCCAGGTTAAAATTTACAGGTGTGCAGTGTTTAAGTAAGCTGTTGGCGTACAATGAAACAGTACTGCCTGTTTTCCCCCTTCATCTCAACATCTTTTACTTTTATGTACATTTCATGGCATGTTTAATCTCACTTATTCTAATACTCACCATCCATATGAATGCAATAAACGGTCTCCTTTCTGGTAACAATCTATAAAACTTTTGAACCTCATTTTAACAAAACAAGGTTCGACATACACAATGGATTTTCATTATGACCTAATGAAACAAAAGAATTTAAAAAAGGAATTCCATATAAAAGTAGAAATAAGAATTTATCTAAGAATTTAATTATCTCAAGGTGTTGAAATTTCACAGGACCTTTCATATAATTAAGACTCTGAGGTTACTAACACATATGATTCATATCAGACTAGGACAAATTCTTTAAAGAAAGAAAAACAGAAGTAGTTAGCAGACACAGTACAGTGAACGAATCCTCCTATAGACACAACATATTTACATACCTGATTACTTGAGTTTAGTTTCATCTATTCCATAAATTTCACATTATATAACATCAGTTACAGTAGCTACACTCTAACCAAACAATGTTCCTTAACAAACTGACTAGCGAACAAGAACATTTTCTTTTCTTTGAAAGACATCATGGATCACAAATAAACTTGCCTGAAGCCTTCAAAACACAGAAAGCTCACATAATTGTGGTTTGGAAGGTAGTGTTTATTCTAAAAATTTGAGAGCAACATTACATCTGCGAAGCCTTGTAATAATCATATGAATGCTTAAATTCTTAAGCCTCATCCTAGATGTATATTTATTTGGCACGCTACAACATACTTATAACTACTTCCTCTGAACATATTAACATTAAGTTAATTTGAGAGGGTACATATATCACGTTTCAAACATTTCTATGGGAAGAGAAATACATGTTTGAATATCTCTATCCTATGTAAGATTTGAGGCTTTCACGGCGGTGACTATGAAGAAAGCAGTCTTCTGGGATTTGGCACCGTGTATATGTGGTGTTAACCGAGGTTACCGGTTCTCATGGTCTCTTCGCTTGCAGATTTCTTATATTTTTTCTTCTACCCTGAAGATGTAGGCGATACGTTCCTCCGAAACGTCGGTTAACACCACATATACACGGTGCCAAATTCCAGAAGACTGCTTTCTTTATCTCTATCCTGTGAGACTGTCCCAATTTTCCACCATTTAGTATATAAACTCTTACCAAATGTACTCATGGTTTTAGAGCACCTCAGTTATGCATTCTGATTCAGTACTATAATCAAGGGTGGCATTTACTCTGTAGAAACCGAAATGTAAAATCCTGTGGTTGTAACTTAATAAACAAGTAAAACTGGTGGCAAATACATGATATAATATTATAAAAAGAAATCAGACTGCAAACAAGTGAACAGAATTATGGATACAGTCACTTGCACATACTTAATGATTTGAGGTTATATTTATTTAACTGTTTTTCGATTTAGTTGAAGAGAGTATTCTTATGTAAGGATAACAATAAAATTCTCTGAGGTAAAAAGGTAAAGTTCTCCCTGTGTTTAATTAAGCACTATGCCATGATGATATATGAGGAGTGGATGTATAGATCCATGTATTTTTGGCCTCAGCATCAGTTGAAGGTGAGTGGTCAGCTTCAGACCCTGGTCGCATTACCCCTGGGGAAAAGGCCCAGGTGCCTAATGTACAGGAGGCTGGGTGGGCTCCAGAACAGATCTGGATGACATTGAGAGGAGAAATATCTTGCCCCTATCAGGGCCCAACCTTCGACTCCTAGGCCATCCAGCCTGTAGCTAGTCGCTATACCGACTGTGCTATTCTGGCTCCCAGAACTGAGCAACCAAAATAAAAATTTCAAATAAATTAATGTCGGAAAGACAAAAAATTGTGTTGAGTGAAGATACACCAGAGAAGGTAAGGCAAGCGTGAACACAGATACACGATAACAGCTTATGGTAAGACTGAGATAAGCGTTTCAATTGAATTAAAATCAATACACAGTATCAGTTACTAACCAACAGGATGCAGTGGCACTTATAAAAAGGGATGAAGGATACAGATATTCAAGCGCGATAACACCTATCAAACATCCTCCTAGTTTAGCGATTCTCATCCTTAACATGATGCATGCAGCGTATCAAAAGTCCACAGATTAATATAGAAAAGACACTTTGTACAAATGTTTGCTCTTCTGAAGGAAAATACAAAGAGGATACTGTCTGATATACACCTAATATTTAAATGTTTTTCTTTTGTAAGAAGCGAACCTTGTAAGACCAACATTTTCATTGCTTTATATAGGCATCATGTGATCTAATTATAAATCTGTACACATTATAATATTTCTCTTTCATGACTGTGCCATGAATTACAGATAAAAACCAAGAGCACAAGAGATAATAACAGGAAGGCTGAGAATCACCACTCCAGGTGATTTTTCTACATTTAGGATCTTGGAAACAAATGCAAAACTATAAGGTACTCAATCATTCATGCTTACTGCCTCCTGAACTTACTATCAGTCATTGTAAAGCCAGCAGAGTCAGTCCTATGTCACAATGAGTCTTACAAGCACTGTTATTTCCTTTACTTAGATCGGGAAGTTACACAGATAGCGGCTCAAAAATAAGTTATAAATTGAAAAGAAGTGCAACACTGGGGCATTTGCTTTCGAAGATTAAGAACTGATTCAATGGGGGTTTAATGAATGCCGCTGAAAGTCACAAGGGATCCACCAAGTAAACATGACCTGACAAAGTTCCAAAAGAACACATTTTGATCTTGTGTTCAGTACTGAAAATTGAACATTTAAAACGATCTTAAATAAACACTGAACAGTTATCTGCACCAGGAATTCTGTGGCTCAGTACAAGAGACCACAGATATAAGTGAAGCCTTATACACCAGCTAACACAGAATTTAATATACCAATAGCATTAAACTTGCACAATTCTGTGGGCTTGAGAAGTTCAATATGCTTCACCAAGGAATCTTCATGTAGTGATTGAGGTTATTAGCCCACATATATAATACATTTCAAGCTCTAACATAACATCATTGCAAATATTAATACCACAGCCATACATCTTAGCCATGATGTTAAGTAACTTACATCAGTCAACATGTTCCTACGAAAATATTTGCAAGAAACAAAAAGAAACCTACTCAACAGCCAACAGGAACTTCAAAACATGTTCAGAAACTCATATTACACAAAAACAATACATTAAAATATGTGTATGTCCACTCATAGTTTCATATAACTTATTGTTTTGGTATCAAATCTAATATAATTTGAATCTTTCTGCAGTAGTTTCTTATAAGAAACTGCACAAATATTGCCCGTAACAGGCAAGGGAATTAATTTAGAAATCCATGAAACCACGTGAGTTACTTCTGGTATACATCCTTTCTCTTACATCTACAAGAAAACTTATTCTAAAGATGAAAACAAAGGTTTTGAAAAGATTTCTTCTATATATAGAAACACGGAAGTTACACACACAAAAGAAAATTACACACTCATGTGCACAACTAACTTCAACAGAAAATATTCACATAAAACATTAAAACAACAAAACAAATTTCGATTCCTTAGTACAGGAATTATCAAAAATGAGGAAAAATTAATTGCTGTATTTTGTTGCTGTTACAGATAGACATACAAGTCTTTAGAGAAAAATGAGTTAACAAAACTGAATTTCAAGGACTTTCAAGAATACTGTACTAATTTATTTCATTGGTCACTCATCTGGCTGGCAGCATAAGGAGGCAATGATTCGTGCAGAAGAAACAAAGCGGAGGAACCTCATAACCTTTCTTCTGCCATCAGTCAGGCAGCTGCGATGTCATTGGGGGGATCACAATATCATCCATATTTGGAAGTACAAACTTTTTCTATGAAAAAAAGAAGAAAAAGAAAGTGGTAATTTAATTACAAGTTAAACATTGCACATACACATATACAATGTCACGCTTCAAGTTTTACAAACTACCACCTGAAATAAAATCCAAATAATTTGAACAGCTTTGCAACAATATTCTGACACACAAATGCTAACATAACACAAAAGAGGGCCGCGCCATAGCTCAAGCGGTTAATCGCTCGCTTCCCACCGCGGCAGCCCAGGTTTGATCCCGGGTCTGGTCAAGTGGGATTTGTAGTGGACATAGTGGCACTGGGGCGGGTTTTCTCCGAGTACTTCGGTTTCCCCTTCCAATCTTCATTCCACCAATTGCTCCACAATCACCCTCACCTATCATCGGGGGCTGGTACAATAGGCCAGAAGTGGCCGCAGTACAAGGGACTTAGTCCCACCAAACTAGCAATAAAAAAACTAGAAGTTCCTCAAATTCTGGCATGGTCACATGAACCTAAAGCACGCTTGAAACACACACAATTAACTGATAATTTCTCGAAGATTACCATCTTCCATGACACGATTCCATGCAGTTTGGTAATGTTCCTCTGAAACGGTACCTATCTACCACACTCTACAGTGTCACACTCCAGAAGAAAGTAATCTTCATGACCACAGCTGTGAGAACCCTAAATCCAACATAATAATTTACTAACTATGTTACCTGAAATTCTTGACAGAGTTGTTTCTCAATCCAAGATGTCACTTGGCTTATATTTACTTGGCGCTCACCGAACTTGGGTCGAGCCTGCAACCAGAGACGTGGATTTCCACGAAATCCATACCTGGAAATAAATGACGTGTTAGAGGTTACCATGGTTCAGATTTTGCAGCAAAAGACTTTTTAAAAATTGTAACTAATTTGTTTCAGTTCTCAAATGACTTTTTCACAACATTCCTTACTCCTACTAGCTTGTCCTGGTCATACTCGTGGGTCCCAACACTCTCTGTCTTCATGTCACTTTTTCCACACTCAGCTTACTCTTCTACCCTGAAGACAGAGGCAGCACACTCCTCCAAAACAGCAGTAAATATCTATCAGACTACATTTATAGTCATCATTGTGAGAACCTCAAATTTTATGCAATGACAAAAGTAACAAAAGAACTTCAATTTTAAATTTTAATGGTAATTTGAAATTTTAAACAAAATAATGTCAATAATTTGCTTTCTGATATACTAGGAATTAATAACGCCGATTCCTAAGAAAGCCCTAAAAATTCGCTTAGTGGGGGGTGCAGTCCAACTGGGTCCACTTGGCATGGCAGCCACTGATTGGCTTATTGTAGCCTGCCCAGGGTGATTTTGATGATGGAGAATTTGGTGAAATGAAGATTGGCAGGGGAAACCGAAGTACTCGGAGAAAAACCCACCCTGCCATGGTGGGAAGCCAGTGACTATTTTCCTTTTCATTGCTAGTGGGGTGGGACTAAGTCCCTTGTACTGTGGCCACTTCTGGCCTATTGTACCAGACCCAGATGATAGGTGAGGGTGATTGTGGAGCAATTGGTGGAATGAAGATTGGCAGGGGAAACCGAAGTACTCGGAGAAAACCCGCCCCCAGCACCACTATGTTCACCACAAATCCCACTTGACCAGACCCGGGATCAGGAAGCCAGTGACTAACCGCTTGAGCTATGACACGGCCTCAGAAAGCCCTATGCTGTACGATGTACATCTTTATTCCAGAAACATAATCAGAAGAATTATAAATTTTGTGTTTTAAGCTATTTGGAATTTTATTTTATTTTTAAGTGAAGTTTAAAATTTAAATTTAACAGTTAAAATTATAATGCAAACTGGAACAAATTTATAAATCACCTATCTGGATCCATATAGGTAAATAATCCAGTAATGAGACACATACTTATATGATTGCCTGATGATGACCTAACAGGGTAGAAACGCATAGCAATACTTCCATACATTTAACAAATACTAATACAGCAGTAGTGATTTACTTATTACTGAACTGTTGTGTTGACCGATACATTAAGAATACCATATATGGTGAATGGTTACTTTGAAATGGATTATATTTTTAATAGTACTGGTGTTGAGAAAAAGCTGGTACTCAAAATACCTGGTTCTGAAGATATTAAGATATTATTTCACTATTTCATGGAGGAATAGTGAAAAAAGTAAGTATAACTGGCTTATGCAGGAATGATATTGTATCCGAACTAACTTGCGTGCAGCACTTGGTACTGTTTCACGATATATTCTGTGTACGTACCACAGTCTATCTGATGGAGGAGGTGGGATGTTCAGAACCAGCGTTCCAACCAAACCATTCACCTCAACACTAAGTATAAGCCTGGTATTTGAAACTCCTTCAATGGCTCTCTTTATGTACTTGTATTCAGTTGCCTGTAACACAATACCATATTAGAAACATCTTTACATTCGCAGAACTACAATGTTGTCACCTGTTAGTGACTAGACATGGGGTATGTATTGATAACCAGATTTACTGAACACTTATAAACTGTAACAACAGGTAACTGTAACACTGTCACTAATCTACACACTTAAAAAATTACTATGGCACATGCTAAGTCTCAGTCCGTTATAATCTTCACTAGTCATTGCTTGGTTACGGTTCCCAACAATGGAGATTCTTCTGCTCTCATGCTTATGTCACTGCTGGCTGGCTACCATCTCACAACTCACTACTAGCTCAATGCTGGAACTAACTCTCAACTAACTTGTGTCGTGCATAACATAAACTCTAAACATGGAGGCCATGCATGTTCACCCACCTGCATGTTTCACTTCTCATGTTTCTCAATGGATGAGGAGTACTGCTTTCTCAGATATAATGACATGTAGCCTAATAGAAGTTCAACGATATTTCAGAGGAACATACTGTTTCCATCTTCAGAGCCTAACAATAAACCAAGCAGATAGCCGGCAAGAAGTATGCAGGAAGCTTGGAGGCAGCACATTCGTCTTAAAAGTCAGTGGACTTCTATCAGAATACACAACATTACATTCTGAAAGGTCACTGCCACAAGAACCTCAAATCCAGCTTACAATTTCAAAGATATTGCTTGGAGGGGAAATAAGAACTGTGAAGCAAATTTTGGCCCTTACTTGTTTCGATATAACACCTACTTAACACGAAATGTAATCATTATCATTCACTAAAGTTTCCACCACAGTTCAAGGAGGATGAGGTGGGCAGGTCATGTAGCACAAACGGGGGCGAAGAGGAATGCATATAGGATATTTGTGGGAAAACCATATGGAAAGAGACCACTGGGAAGACCAAGGTGTAGGTGGGTGGACGATATTAAAAAGGATCTTAGAGAGATAGGATTGGATTGAGCTGGTTCAGGATAGGGACCAGTGGAGGGCTCTTGTGAACACAGTAGTGAACCTTTGGCTTGGATAAAATGCTGGGAGTAGCTGCAGAAGTGGTGGATTCTCAAGAAGGACTCAGCTCCATGAGCAAGTAAATAAAAACTGGTTTATAACACAAGATTTCTTTAAGAAAGCATTTCTTGATATGTTGTATACTAAATGATACACATGAAGAAAGTATATGTCAAAGCCTTAACTTACCTGCTGAAAATATTTTGATGCAGCAATCTTATTCATCACGTTCATTAACTTCTTTCCAGTGGAGGCAGTTGGAGGAGTTTTTCTAGAAACAAATATTTTAGTTCTGTTACATAAATACTGATCTTGTAATTCCCATATTGACTCTACATGTGCAAAAAAATTACAAAGGTTCTCTTCAAATACAATACACAGATCTAGCACAAATGTAATGGTGTGTTCTACACACTAAAATAATTAAATAATTTCATATGGACATGGGTTTGGAAGAATATTGCAGATGTGGCACAATGTAATCTGGCAGAAGTTCACCAGCATTTTTGAAGAACATATTGCACTCATCTTCATGGCAGAAGACTAAGCCAAGTGGAGAAAAATTTGTATGGATGCAGGGAAACATATGAAGGGCCTCAGATTCTTTCACTTTCTCCTTACTCCTACTCGTTAGCGGCCTCCGTAGTCTAGGGGTAACGTTCCCACCTCATGAGTCAAGTTACGCGGGTTCAAACCCGGCAGAGGTCGTGGAATTTTTAAGGGTGGAAAAATTCAGGGAACAAGTCCTCCGGGAGGGACTTTAAGCCGTGGGTCCCGTGCTGTAGATTTACGGCACGTAAAAGATCCTCATGTTTCTAGGAGACCTATGAGAAAAATAAGGCAAAAAAGTTTCCTGCTCAAGTAGTTGCCAATGCCTCCGGTAGATGGGGAAGTTATTGGGTACCAATGCCAGTAGAGGACAGACCAAGCTGGCAGAAAGGTGAGAGGTATTGGGTACCACTGCCAGTAGAGGGCCGACCTCGCTGGCAGAAAGGGTAGATAGCGGGCACCAGTATTGGTAGGGTATGGCGACAGTAGAAATTAAAGGGGGACGTACAACAGACTATTAGTCGTGGTGCATGGGGAAACCCACCCACTCTATACTGAATAACTGAACCGAATATTCCTACTCATTCACTCAAGACCACATCCCAGGCCCCCTTCTCTGTACAGCAGTACAACTTTTTCCATCCTCAGCTTACTTTCCTACCCCGGAGATGATGTAGGCAATACATTCCTTCAAAACATCAACAAACTTCTACCAAACTGCATGGTGTCATGTTCCAGTGCAGCATTCTTCTGTACCTTTCCTTCACAACTAGCTTTCAGACGATATAACGCTCAATGGACATCTGATCGTGTTCCGCAGTAAACGCCAAGATATGCACAGTGTCATGTCAAAGTTCAAAGTGGACATTCTGAGCATCTGTCACAAAATCTGTGTTCTTGATACAGAGGGTAACCAACAATGTCACATCATAAATTTCAGAAAGAAAACAAGTGCTGTTAATTTGCATATCCATGTTCATATGAAATATTTTCACTGATGTGGCATGTAGAAATAAAAGGTAATTCAATATGAAGTAAACACCCAAGAAAAATTATAGAAAAGAAACTATATATAATATAACCTGAAGCTTAAAGAGCAACAGTATAAAATGAAGTGTCCTTGGTCAATCAGATGTTAACGTGAAGTTCGCATCTGTCACTGTCCCCATCATTACATGCTGATGTAACATCAATTTAATGTTCCATCCATCATTGTGACAGAGTGCCGTTCAGGTGCTGATGTAAAGCTGCAGTCCTCCAAGTTAATCACCATATCAAAATAAAGGTTTCCTGTTAACATGTTATTGAGGAAGGGGAAAAGAGACTTTCATAGTGAAATAGCGCAAAAGATGCAGACTGTTGTGGAGTCCTGTTCATGCTGGATGACATTTCTGACCCCAGAAATGAATGATGTGGTGGCTGACCTTGCCACTTAAGTGTAAAGTGGCTTCATCATTCAAAATATTATTTCATGCTGCCATATCATCTTTGAAATTCATTTGAAGTTCACAGCAGAAATTGTATTGCTTGTGTTTGTAATTTCCCTTGCAGAGGCTCGGTCCTTTTGGTTTAAAACAGTTTATATCATATGTAAATTACCTTTTACCGTGGTGGATCCTTACAGTAATGTTCAAAGAAACTCCCGCTGCATACTTGTAACAGAATCGGTCTTTATGACACAAAATGCTTTCTCCTGTGTAGATGCCATTTTGATAAGATATGTGACTAGCAATTACATTTTCGGCTGGTAGCAGAAAGAAGCACAGACACACTAGCTACCTATTGATATATGTGGTATCATTGTGAAAACAAATCAGTATTTTATTGTTAATATCTGAAAGTGTTGACTTCATTTTGAATAAAACTGTAGAATTTACTATTAGCACATTTTTATTTTATGACTGTTGTGTGCAGGATATTCCAGGCTGGCACATAATACAGAAAATTACTTCACTAAGGATACCCCAGTCCATAACATATACAAATTTTTTAAATTTATTTGGTGAGGTCTGTATGGTCAGTGATAATCTCAACATACACTGTCAGTATGTGACAGTATTTGAAGAGTTAGTTAGCTTAGAACACTTAGCAGTCAAAAGATTAAGTTTTTTTTATTGCTAGTGGGGTGGGACTAAGTCCCTTGTACTGCGGCCACTTCTGGCCTATTGTACCAGCCCCAGATGATAGGTGACGGTGATTGTGGAGCAATTGGTGGAATGAAGATTGGCAGGGGAAACCGAAGTACTTGGAGAAAACCTGCCCCAGCGCCACTTTGTCCGCCACAAATCCCACTTGACCAGACCCGGGATCGAACCTGGGCCGCCTTGGTGGGAAGCCAGCGACTAACCGCTTGAGCTATGGCGCAGCCCTGGAGGATTAAGTTACATCCTGTATACTATTGAGAGATAAAGAATATTAGAGCAGGGACAGAATTTCATAAACAACATAAAGGAATTTACTAAATATTCATATGTGCTGCAGATTTACTAAGCAGGAAAATAAAGAATTCCATGACTATTTTGACTGAAGAATTAGAAGTATTAATGCTCATGTTCTGCCTGAATATGCTATGAAAATTTTAATAATCTCCAAGAATACTGATCATAATCATACCAATGACCTACAATAGGACTGACAGACATACAAATGTAACGAAGGGGGAAGAAAATATAGAGAATTAAAGCAACTGCATAAATACAAATAAAAGTTCACAATTTCCATAATTTTTAAATGTAAACAAGTTGCTAAAAACTGTGTTTCTTTCTAATTCCCAAACTAATTAACTTACATTAATCTTTTCAAGTCCACTGGTATCGTCCGGAACAGGTTGCCATGTTGGCTCTCTTTGTTGCTGGATGACAAATGGCTAGATTTGGTACAGACGTGGTGATGTATGAGACGGTATCCAGACTGTTAATTTTATACCGAACCACCACCACACAAAAATACACAGCCAGCAAACTTTTCAAAACTGGTTATTTTGAAAACACAGCACCTCACAAGCTGAAATGAACTGAAGCTCAAAAGCGGACACACTGTACAGCTACGCCCACTTGTAGCGATGTTCTGTTTGGGTGCTTGACATATACTGCTTACCTAGTAAGGGGGCCCATACACGTATGAGTCTGGCTCACGAGTCCAACTCAGCTTGGGTTCCAATGAGCCAAACTCGTCCGTGTGTGGGTCGTCACGCTCATACGTGTGTGGGCCGCCTAAGAGCGCATTACAAGAACTGACTTCGGATGGATGCATTTCTTTTCTTAACTGTAATTACACTTCTCAGATCAAGTTTCATTTATCAGAGGCAGTGAGGATGTATACTGATTCTGTATCTGTTTCTGCTTCAACTTCCAACTTTTTCTTGTGCCAGTACCTAAGATATCATGCAGCAGGGTCTGTGGAGAAGACTATCTGTTGGGGTGTGCTGCTGTGTAGTCTGGTAAAGGTTTACCAACATTTCAGAATAATGAACTGCCTCAATATTCAGGGCTGAAGGGTAAGACGAGTATATAACCATCAAGGAAGAACCATAGGCTGCTAACTGCTTCACTCTTCAACCCTGAAGATGGAGGTACAACATTCCTGACATGGTGGTAAACTTCTACCATACCAGATTACCTGATCTCATATACTAGAAACTAGTATTCTTTGAGTTCATGAAACATTTTAATTATAATTACATTCGATGGTTACTCAAGTATTGCATCACACAAAACTGTGTCTAATTATATACAATTATTTGATCTGTGTGACATCTGAGGTTTTTACTCTCTCACGATGAAGTGCGCTATATTCTGGAATGTGACACCATGCACTACTTCCATCTTCAGGGTCAAAGAGCAAGCCAAGCAAACAACTTGCAGCGTGTTCCTCTGAAACGTTCATAAATTTCTACCAGACTATACGGCATCACATTAATCTGATTAGATTCTGTGATATTTGAAATTCTAATTCTGTTGAAGAAATTCAAAATCATATTTCATAGAACTGATAACAAATACGTATGGACCAAGGGAACTCAATTTCTTTCTGTCAAGCTGAAATTATGACTGGAGAACAAAAGATATTTAGTGTTCATATTACTGATTTTCCATCATAATGCAAAACTTGATCTTATAAAAAGTCTCCTTAAGTGATACAAAACCTGTAAAGTACCCGATATCATATGCTGTCATCTCCACTCAGTTCATTTCAGCAGCCGGTGCATTTTCACTTCAGTCACTACTTGTTCAGAGCAAATTACATTTCTGATTTGAGAATTCAACATGTATGCTGACAGACCACTTAATAATGCCCTTCTAATATGAGGTGCCTATCTGATTTTACTAAATCTTAATGTTAGGGTTTGACATAATAGCTTACAGCTATTTCATAATTATATTTCTAATACCTGAATCCAGTGACCAATTTAAATGAAATGGGATACACAACAGATTGCTCTCCCATATTTATTACACGTGACAGGCAGTAACATTTTTTGGTCTTCTGTAACACGTTAAAAAAACTTAAATTTTTAAGTGGATTAAGGAGCTGGGAGAGCGCAGTTGGTATAGTGACTGCCTACTGGCTGGATGACTGAGGGGTCCGAGTTTGAGTTCCAGTAGTATCAAGAATTTTCTCTTCTTCATGTCATCCAGACTGGGTCTGGGGTCCAATCAACCTCCTACCCAATGGGTACTGGGGGCTCTTTATCAGGGGGTAAAGCGGCTGGGGTGTGAAGCTTACCACTCATCTCCAGCTCGTGCCGAGGTCAAGAAAATGTGGCTCTATACATCCATCTCCCCATAAGCCTTTATGTAGTGTAGTGTAGTGCTTAATTAGTTACGCACAAGGACAACTTTACTTTTTACTTTTTTAAAGTGGATTTGTGTATCGCTTTGAGGTGGGATATATGTCTCTCTTGAACCAAGGGGTAAAAGCTGAATCGAGAAATATGTTTCCCAGTGACTAAAACATGTTATAGGGTGGGGTACTGCCATGGCTAGAAATACACTTTTCACAAACTACAGTAAGTTAAAGACTATGTTGAAACCAAATATGAACAAAGATATATGAAAATAAAATGTTCGGTATCCTACAGTACAAATCACACAAACATTTACAGTGAAGCTGACCCACAGGCTGACGGTGGGGTTGGGAAGTAAAGCTATCCCTGTAACATGCTGTGGAGGTCTGTAGGGATGTGAGATGTTGAGGCTCCCACATTTTCTAGACAATCGGTTCAAAGATGATGGTGAGGTTGTCAGCCTTACGTGCTGGCCGCCCTTTAGCCCCCAGGAATATTCCCCCTTTATTTTAAATCCATATTTGTTGTGATATATTAACAGTTACACTTCTGATGACTTTGATTAACTTAGTTTACAGTATGTTACATTACACTGGATGCCATGTGATCCTGATGTTATATTAAACTGCAAAGGATTAACACTTCCCCTCTGAACCTTTGTTGCTGCCAACTTACCACTCTTCTTGGACCACATTAACAGTTGACAGTACTCCACATAAACACATGTATAGCAAGTGACCTATAAGGTCAAGAAACTGCAAAAGGTACATAATTGTCCCATCTAGTGACAGCAGAAATAACCACGTGCTCAAAGCACTTCTAGAACCTAAAACTGCAGACCCTGACAAAGCATATTTAAAAACAAGAAAACTCCTCTGTGGTAGTTTTGACATTGCACCTGTAAATTGCGAAATTCATTCATAGGAGCGAGTAAATAATCTGTCAAATGCTATTCTACTTTAACTAAACTATTTCCAAAAGAAAACTGGTATATGAACTATGGACTAGCTGATCACAGTGGCTGTGTGGTCTAAGGCATGAACTGTCTTCGCCCGCACAAACACTGGGATCATGGGTTTGAATCTCACTCAGGGCATGGATGTCTGTGCGCGTTTATTCTGAGTTTGTGTTGTCCTCCATGTGCGATGGGTTGATCCCCTGTCCAAGGAGTCCTACTGACTGTGTAAAAGTGGCCAAGGTTTAACAAAGGGCTGTAGAGCCATAGATAGATAGAACTATGGAACACATGCTGGGAATCAGTCAATAACATGACTACTCACTCATCTCCTGAGGTGCTTTTGCCATCATCCTCTTCATCATCAGAGGATTCTGCACTGTCATCCAGGTCACTGTCATACATAGGTGATTTACTGCAACAAACATTAGAACATGGTACTTGCACAACAAGGCAGTAACATTCTCTCTTCACCTAAGTTTTCTTTCATTTTAATCACAACGTGTGTAAAGTCTGTTAATTATATTAATTTCCTTGTGTATTTTGTTAAAAAAGAGAAAATGTTGTCATGTGTTAGCGACTAGACACAGGGTTTGGATTGGTAACTGGATTTATTGAACACTTCTAACTTGTAACTACAACACTTTCACAGATCTGTACATTTGAAAAATCACTGTATTGAATCACACATAAAGTCTTCTCAGTATGTTACGGTCTCCACCAGTCATTGCTTGGTAACGGCTCCCTACAATGGAGATTCTTCAGCTTTTGTGCTCATGTTATTGCCGGCTGGCTACTATCTCACAACTAACTCAACTGCAACTCATATGACATCACAGTCCTAGCCCTTGCTATACAGCCTCAGCACGGACCACATAGAAAACACCATTTAGACACGTTTCTCCCATTTTTGTGCGCCCATTTGTTGCAACGGACATGAGTTTATTGATACATTATCCAGCAGCAGAAAATTTCTTCTGGCTTCATTATTATGACCTTTCAGCTTCCATGTCACAACATAAAAAGCCGATCTCATACTTTCACGCTGACTGTTGATTGGTTAGAAAAGGCGCCATGTGAGAAAGCATCTTATGACACACCTATTAATAATGCAACCAAGGGCAAAAGTCAGTGCCTGAAGGAGAATGCTGTGTTCATACCCCTCATGAATTAATTCTGAATAAAGAAAAAGTAAGAACCCGTGATCAAAGACCAGGGGGTGTAAGTCTGCTTAGAATCTCATTTGCGCCATTAGCATCTGCAAGGAATATTTTAATTAACAGGGGTTGATATGAGAGATTCAATGCCACAGAACCAAGGGACTCAGTCTCACCCCCATTCCTACAATTAACTTTTCAATACAGTTTGAACTGATCTTATGTAAATGTTCTGCTATGGCGTTAGCAACAAAACTACTGACTTTGAGATTCATTGAAGGAAACCACAACATAAAAAATTACAATTTTATGTCATAACTTCCTATCTGTACTCTAATAAGTATCACATTATCTTCCATATAAAGTGAATTAAATTTGTGTGAACCAAAACTAAGGGTTTTTAATATTTTACAGTCAGAATGTTAACCACCCATGTTAGTTTAAGCGGAGACAACAATGCTCTGTACAACAGGAACAAGTCCTGAACGTGATCTATACTTGCAATTACATGAGCAACCACCAGTATGCAGAATCAACTAACCTCACACAGCATTCCCCTTCTTGAAAAATAACTGGCCAAGAAATTTATGACATTTAACGGAACCCAATGGTTCACTACCATGTATAAAAGAGCCTGCCATTTGGAGGGGGTTAAAGAAAGTGATGACATGATATGGAATTAATCATCAGCAAAGCAGCATAATCATTTTTCTTGAAGATATTCCTTGTGGTCATCATAAAGTAATTGATAAAAAAGGCCATGCCATAGCTCAAGTGGTTAGTCGCTGGCTTCCCACCGCGGTGGCACAGGTTCGATCCCGGGTCTGGTCAAGTGGGATTTGTGGTGGACAAAGTGGAGCTGGGGCAGGTTTTCTCCGAGTACTTCTGTTTCCCCTGCCAATCTTCATTCCACCAATTGCTCCACAGTCCCCCTCACCTATCATCTGGGGCTGGTACAATAGGCCAGAAGTGGCCGCAGTACAAGGGACTTAGTCCCACCCCACTAACAATAAAAACAAATTGATAAAAAAGAAGCCAATTGGCAAATTCTGAGTGTCAAGCAGTAAGCTGATCATCCTTTTTGCTATAGTATCCTTCACCATTACTATAGCAAAAAGGATGACACCTCAATACAACGGGATGCTAAAATAAGGTAAGCTGATGTAACTGTCAGACTGACCTTTTACCCAGAGGTATAGCTTCTTCTTTCTCTGCTGTTAAGGCTGCTTGTGCTGCTGCAATTTCCCCTCCCATTTGCTTCACTTTCATGAGGTTTAGTTTGGTTTCTAAAGTGAAACATGCTGTCCCTTCATATGTCACATCCAGGTCCACCCAGAGCCCTCTTTCATCCAGTCTGGGATGAGAAGCACGATGGGCTAAAGGCACATTGTGACCCAAGTCTAATTCCGTTATAATCAAGTCTTCTATAAAGTAAGGTAGCTGAAATGAAAACAATACAAAACACGTTAAGACCTGAGGTTATCACGGCGGTGACTATGAAGAATGCCGTCTACTGGGCCATGGTGCCATGTAGAGCTTGTGTGAACTGATGTTTTAGAGGAATGCATCGCCTCCATCTTCAGGGTAGAAAAATCTGCGAGCAAGGAACGAGTGTGAGCAGGTGGCTGCAGTCTGCATTGTGGATCTACATGGTGCCACATCCCTGAAGACGCCATTGTTCAATACAACACATGTACTTTGCTGACTACTTCAAAAAATTAAAATAAAACACAATAACATCAGGTGCTCATGTTTATTACAATATAAAGTACATACATATGACACAGTAATTTAAACAGTAAGGAAGTGGGAAAGCCAGAAGGAAAGAGACCACTGGGAAGACCAAGTGTAGGAGGCTGGACAATATTAAAATGGATCTTACAGAGATAGGATGGGATGTTATTGATTGGATTGATCTGGCTCAGGATAAGGACCAGTGGAGGGCTCTTGTGAACACAGTATGAATATTCGGGTTACATAAAATGCTGGGAAATTCTTGAGTAGCTGCACAATTGGCAGTTCTTCCAGAAGGGCTCAGCTCCATGAGTGAGTAAGTAAGAAATGAAGTATTTACAGTATTCCTCATTGTCATCATCATCACCAATCATCGGCAAAACAGCCACATTTGAGGCACAACCTTCCTTTGAAGATTCTGCTAATTTTCTTCTGCTTTTCATTTCTTTGGGTCTGACAACAGTAATTTTTTTACATCCTGAAGGACCAGGTCTCTGTATTTATGTCTCCGCAGTGAAAGGGCGGCCCAGTTATGCCCTTTTTATCGCCTTCTACGATTAGCAGGGCTACAGTGGTGACATTTTAACAACCTCCACATGGGAAGGAAAAGTAGTCAGTTTGAATGAATCATAATCTAACCATTCTCATCTCTTTGTTTTCATATCCTGTTCGAGGCTGAGAGATGTAGCATTACAGAGGAAATACTTTTTAATGTTCTGACCTTACTCTTACATCAGCAACTGAAATCCAAATATGGCATTAAATAAAATAACAGAAAACAAATGTTCATGATTATTTTATGATACTCTCTACATTAAAATTTAGATTCTCAGAACAGCAACTACGAAGATTATTGTCTTCTGGGATTTGACAACATTTATTTTGGTAGATGTTTACCTGTGTTCTTAAAAATATCAGTAAATGTATATTTCCTATCTTGTTTAAGTTACTGTAATTATTATTATCAGGGCCCGGATTTTGATGACATGTCATCTTTTTTTTTCCTTGTATCCTATGTGATGCTCTTAAATATATAAATCTTGCATATGAGCTGCTGGTTACAGAAATGTAAATTTTATAGGTAATTTTTTGTCATTTTTTCATTTTGGGGGTAATTTTTTGGACTTTTAAGGGTATTCTTCATATGTTTCTGAAATGTGAATAACATGCAAGCGAAGTGTTCTTTCTTTTCTCCTTTAGGTCATTTTTCTGGATTTTTTGGTCATTTTATAGGTAATTTTTTTTAATATTTTCAGGTCATCAAAATCCGGGCCCTGCATATTACATTTTTGGGTCATATTTTAGGTCATTTCTCTGGATATTTCGGTCATTTTGAAATATTTTCAGGTCATCAAAATCCAGGCCCTGATTATTATTATTTACTGCATACAACAAATGGAAAAACAACAAAATTTACAAAATCTCAAAGAGTTCTATCTTCTGTGATATAACACTGTGTAGTCCGTTGAAAATCAACCTATGTTTCAGAGGAACGTGTCACCTCTACCTTCTGGTTTGTACAATAACCCTAGCAGGAAACCAATGTGAAAGTAGGCAGCAAGCAGTGCCACCTGCTTTTCTGCTGGCTTCTTACTTGGCTTATTCTTTGACCCTGAAGATGGAAGCATCTGAGAAGATAGAACTCTTCATAACCACTTCTGTGAGAACCTCAAATTTCACAAACCTTGATCGTTGAAAGTTTTTTTTGTAATCTCTCCTGAAGCTTTTCAACAAAACACTCATTCTTCAATATGTCAAATAAGACTCGACCAATCATAGCATTGATCCACATGACATCAGCACTGGTTTCTTTGTCTATCTCAGTCTCTATGTCCGCTTCCAGTTTTTCGTGTTTTTTCCGAGCAGCTTCTGATTTCTGTGTCTTGAGATATATAAACAAGAAAAACTCATTTAAGAAAAAGTACATCTTCAAATAAACTGTAATACAATATCACAAATTATATTAACATATCAATTCAGCACCAATAAGAACATGTGCTGTCACAGTGGGGTTGGTCAGAGTTAAGCAAGATTCAAAGTAAACTGAACAAGCTGTAAGAAACCAAATCGGCAGAGAATGAATGTTAATAAACAAGAAAATAGACTAAACAAACATGGATGTAGACTAAGAGATCAGTATGCAGATCAAAAGTGGAGGACACAATGATTTTATGGATTACTAAAAATAAAGAAGGAAAGAATGTGAAACCAAGACAACGGGAAAGATCTGAAAACACAAACCCTATAAGAAACACGAGTGGGCTGGTATAGCAATACTGTACTCCTGTACTCAGGAGGTTCTCAACTTGAATCCTGGCCAGGACATTGGTCATCCTGAGTGAAGATCTTCATCGTTTTGTGCAGTCCCTCCAGGCAAATGTCAGCAAAGTACTTCAATTATACAATGACTACCTCCTTCCATATAATCATTCATCAATCATTCCACTATCTGACACTATACAGTCTAGATACTGACATCATCATCATCATCAAGTAACTCCCACCCAACTTACTTACTCATGGAGCTGAGCCCTTCTGCAGGAGCCGCCAATTCTGCAGCTACTCAAGAATTTCCCAGCATTTTATGGAACCCAAAGGTTCATCACCGTGTTCACAAGAGCCCTCCACTGGTCCCTATCCTGAGCCA